ACCCCCCACCTCCTACCCCCAAGGTGGCTTGGCCACAATGGGCAACATTCCCAGGGTGGGCAGCTGTGAAGCTTATCGCCTCTTTTTGTTCCTTTGCTTCCTTCTGTGGTCACTGGCTGTCATCCCATTTTGGGTGGCACAGGCCAGCAGGGGGTGCTAGCACCTAAATGTAAAGACCATGAGCTCCCAAAGCAGGAGTAGGAAGGCGGGGTCTGATGAAGCAAGGCTGCTGATACAATCCTCTTAGGAAAAAGGGTTGGAGAGAACAGCCCTTATGGGAGAATATTACAGGGATGGCTGTACTACCCAACATTCTAAAAAAAGACCATGCGTGGGTCTGAGTTTTTCCATAAGAGCCATCTCAGAAGGAAGGCGCTGGCCACCTCCCCTACAACACGGGACACCACCTGGCCTGAGACCTGTCTCTGCCACAGCCTGCTGGCCAGATCCTCTTTGGGCAAAGGATTTCCGTCCCTTTGGCTGCAGTTTTCATAACCATAGGGGCAATGACACAGTAAAATGAAGTACCGTAACAGGAAAGCTACTAGCAGTCCCTGGCACATAACTCTTGGTTGAATTTGCATCCTTTATCCAGAGTTGGTTAATGATTCTTGTAGGACTAGAATTCTTATTTTTCTGACTCAGCTGTCTCTCTCCTTTTCCTCCAGACTTTTCTCTTTACCAAGTCGGCCTTATCTGTACTTCAGAACATTCTAAAACATTCCAGCAAGCACCCTCAGCCCAGTTACAAAATACCTAGGGGTGCTTGATTGTAAAGGTACACTTAGGCATGGCTTGTAAGGGCTCCTTTCATTTGAAAACTATTATGTGCCAAGTGTAAATTCAAGAACATTCTGCCTTTGCTTGCATATTTCCTCTGTCTTCCTACCTAAAATCCAGCCATTCACTGAACATTTACTCATTGCCCATTTATGTTACACAAGGCCCAATGCTCGGGTGGAGACCCAGAGAGATATAAGACACAATCACATCACTGGAGGTCCCTCCCATGCAGACAGAGAATGTACCTATCTACAGAGATCCTCACTGAGAAGGGGGCTCTAATCTAGTTTCCATGAACCTACCAGGTACCATCTTGTGGACAAATGATGTCCACTTCACAGATTGGCCTCCAAGCCCAAGTGCAGACAGGAAAGGGGAAGACCAGGACTGGAGCCCAGGTGTGGCTAAGTCTTTCCTTTATCTCAAACAGGTAGGGGCCCCTAAAAGATACGCTTTTGCACAGGCTCCAAGATGTCTGCTAAATGTAGGTCACTATGGCTGAAAATGCATTCCCCCCCCCCCC